TTAGTGACTTTTTTTTTTGTTTCATACAACTGTGAGAACACAAAATTATACTTATATTTTTGATTGCAGTTGCAAGAATGTAATTGCAGTTTTTCTTCTTCTTCTTCTCCCCAGCAGAGCATGAATTAACTTTTCAAGAAAGAGTTACTTAGTTAAAGAATAATTTTCTTTGAATATATTTCATTCTTGTTACAGCTAGAAAGAGTTTGATCACAGATTATCCTCATTTCTTCTCTTCCCAGGTTCTTTGCCACTACTACTACCACCTTCAGTTTTCAAATTCAGGGCATCCCTTCTGTCACTCATTTCTCTTTCCTTAGTGAAGGTCCATTCCATTTCCGTGATCATCTTTTTATTTCAGTTATGTGTCTTTTAGTATGCTGTTTGTAAAACCAAGAAAGTGTGAAGTACTGACTTTAATTTATTGGCTCTTTTACATATTTTGTGTCAAATTTAAGTGTGTACGTATTTTGATGCTGTTTATCATTTCATGCTGTCTTACATCTTCTAGACCTAGAAAGTGAGCATATAAACAGTACAAGTAAAGTATGAAAAGTTTATATTCTCCATGGTTTATCAATTTGATCATCAAAAGTCCTGTTTCAAATTTCATATTGTATGGAGAAAAGAAATCATTAATTTGCAGTGATGGAATGTGATTTTCATTGTGCATTGCAAGTGCAGATTTTTGTAAAAGTCAGAAATATCCTAAAGAATAATGTAACTTCATAGTGAGATACTTTCTCTTTTGTACAAATTCCTTTAATATAAACAAATCATTATATTGGAATTTTCAACATAAATGTGGATATAGAATGAAATTAGTTGCCTGTATTTCATGCTGCAGAATTTCAAATTGCAGAAGACTTTTATGTACTGGTCTTTTATGAATGCCAAGAGAATTTGGCTTCTAATCATTACTTCTACACTCATAAAACAGTAGTTCATAATAATGAAGTTATTACAAAAATATTTCATAGAAAGTTCAAACTGGAATGCAAAATTCTTTCTTGTAATATATAATACTATTTTGACATTCATGGAATCAACTTTCACTGTAGTTTGGTGACATTTTATTTCTGTGGAGTTAATTTGTTTAAGAAAGCACATAATTGCTGCTATTATAATTATGTTGAATTGAAGTAAAAATTCCATACTGACTCTTTTTCCCCAGAGAACTTCGTAATGATTCTAGTCAACTCTACACCGCTGTATATTCTGAACATATGTGAAGTGTGTGGTTCATACCAGTGCCCATACTGCCCTTACTACAGCCGGATTGCTCCATCTGCTGCCAGCAAACTTATTACAATACTCTCTGTGATCACCTTGGAACTAATGAAGAAATTAAGGCATTTTACATGACAATGAAAGTGTGAGCTGATATTAATCACAACAGTGCCACACTCCATGTGAACAATGAGTGTCTATAAAACTGTCAAATTATTTTTCTTCATATATTACTTAAAACTGCTATATTCAAACTGACAAGGACCATGCAATAATGGGTATTTAGTTGCTGTAAATTGAAGGGAAGAAAAGAGGGAAGCAAAATGTCTTGTATCAGAGCATCAGTTTTACAAAATGCATTTCTATCATATAAATACAATAATACATTTTTCTCAGTAACATACAGTGTCAGATTTATTTGGTGAAGAAATTTAATATTAAAAGTTTTCTGTCCCTGTACCATGCTAGCAAGGCTATGCCATAGAAAGGTAACTGAATATAGCTGGAACTGCAATTTATGATATCATCTCCGAGCAAAGTTCTTATTCATCTCTCTTCCAGAGCGTTGAATGTTATTTATATTTGCCTTTATTCGACCTTCAATGGAGCCCTGAGAAGCTGCATATGAGAGTTGTTTCCTGAAATAATAAAAATAATTATTTTATATAATATTTATATGGTATTCCTTCCCACAGTTATAACCTATGTATAATATAAAATCAAAGACCATAAAACTGATTGTACCTGAGAAAGTCTCCTTTATATTCTTTGTTTTGTTTCTTTTCTTTTTCATCTTGAGCTTTGTAGCTTGCAATATTCTTTTCCCTTTCTTTTTCTCGCCATCTAGCATTGTCCATCATTTCTTGTCTTCTCTGTTCTATTTCGTTGTTGCCGAGCTTCTGCCTCTCATGTTTAACCCATACCTTCTTGGGTGGTGCAGACTGTGCCTGAGATGAAACTCCTGTTTGCTGAATTCCTAGTATTTGATGATGATGATGATGATGATTTATTCTGTCAGAATGACCTCTAGATCCAGTTCTCTGTAATAGAGAGGCATCATTCATAATATGTGACCGAGTTGCTTATCACACAAACTTCCCAAATTAAAATACAAGAGTTCATAATAACACTCGGATTGATTTTATTTTACATAACACAAATGAAAGGAACAATACATCACAGATGTTACTGACAACACTTCCTATTTCATTTCAGCTGTTGGGAAGTCACCGCTTTGTATAAGTTATGAGTAAGCAGCTGAACTGGTGATAACCATAAAGGAATTTTTTATTAAGCATAATATGCTACATGTTCTCCAGCCATCATCAGATTTACCATAGTCATTTTTTATGTTCCTTAAATTGAATAATAAATAGAAAGAAAAGTCATTCTAGAAAGGGAAAGTGTAGCAGTCAGGATTACTAGAATCATTGTGTTCAGTCAGAAGGAGACTTAAATGAAGGGGACAAATGTGATTGACAGGTATGATAGGAATATTATGACTTGCCCCTGGACACTAAAAATACTTTACCTTCACACAACTTGTAATCCTTAGTTCAAATGTTGTAAGAGCTATCACTCTGCTTGAAGGCTAGTTTTAATTACAATTTAATCTGCCATGTTTGTATTTTAGAGTAGGTAGTCAGGCATTCCTCTTGTCATGAAACAAGACAGAGTGAAGGAAAATCATATGGCATCAGGTAATATGACTACTAAGAGAACTATTATAAAACTGAAATGTAATTTATAATGAAACACATAATAATGATATTTAAATCAAGATGAATAGTCATAAACCTTTTAGAAGTAACTGTTTTCATTACACTGACATCTCTTTAACTAATGCTTTATTTAGTACTCTTTAAGAAAGCTTCACGTTACATACCTGTAAACCATACATTCTGGTAGGTTGGCAGTCATTCTTGTCTTCCTCCGAAGAACCTGATTCATGTTTCCTTTTTCTGTAAGACACTGCTTTCTGCTTGTTACCTGCTTTGTTTCTGTAACGGGCATCAGTGTCTGCACTTTCATTCAGACTCCTTTTGAGCTTTGCAATATCATTATCAGACAGCTTCTCTTTGAGTTTCATGTATTTGGCTGCCAGAAGTGCATCAAGATCTTTCCCAGCATCTTCATGTGAATCACTGTCATGTCTGTTCTTCTTTCTTTCACTCTTTTTCCTGTTATCTTTTTTATGTTTTTTTGTCTTCTTGGACTTCTCTTCTTTAACCTATGTAAGAGAAAAATTCTTTCATAAATGCAATGCACTAGACAGAGACTTCAAAAGTGCAGGTATTTTTTATTTTTCAAAATTAACCACAGGTACAGACAAAGAATTCATTTTAGGATGAAACACATTTAACCAGGGATTTTGACCCATTTAAATTCAACTTATCGCAGACTGCTTTAGTCAATTCCAAACTTCAACACAATGCATGGAAAACAGAATCTTATATATTATTTCTTCACTCCAGTAATTATTATTCTTACTTTCATACAGTTGTACAACATAATAATTAAGGTAACAGCTATCTTAAAAATTTGGATAAAATGCTATGTGCTCTTGTTTTAGACTTAAAATGAATTTTACAACAGTAACCTGACACATAAAATGTGCATAAACATCAAGCAGTGTGGTTGGTGGTGGTAGCAAGTACAATGTGTGTGGGAGTAAATGTAAAGATCCACCTACAAAATGCTGGGACATTCCTAACATAAATGCAGTAGGTACACCAAGACTTATACTCACCAATTCTTGCAACTGTTTCAGTTTTACAGGATTCTTCAAAATCTGACTTTGACTCTCAATTTCTATCTTTTTGATAATATACAATGGATCCTCTTGCAATTTTCTTGCCATATCCACTTGTTCACCAACAGAGAATATAGAACTTGGAAGACAATCTAAAACAAGAAAATTGTATTAATACAAAAAAATATATACACAAAACATTAATAACCTAAATAAGCCAATAATGTACTGCTGTCACAAGTGTGATGCCTTAGTGCATAAAGGTAAATCCATGTGCAGTCAGTATTTATTCAGACTGTTATGTGGATGGTTGTCCAGTGCGGAGTTCATGTTGCACTGATTCATATTTCTTTTATGCTGCAGAAATGTACATCTTATTGCCTTTTTAACACGAACACATAAGTGCCAGGTAACTTCGTGCAAAGCAATGTCTGGATGACAGATCTATCCCTCCTTTATGAGGCTAGGAAAATCTACTTCTGGATGCTGTGTCAATCCTCAAAGATGTTAACACAAATAGCTTCCTACACCATCAACACAAGCTTCTCATTTAAATGGTTGTGCTATGACTGCATTACAGCCATTTTTATGTACAAACATATGCTCAGAAATAGGAGAAGAGGATAGAGTAGTTTAACCTGTTATATATCATTACCGATTCTACTGTTCTACTTGTTACATACCAAGTTCAATAGTGTTTCTTGATGTAGATGCCTTTTCTGCATGTTGCATCTGCTCAAAAGATTTGTCAATGGCACGCCCCAGAAGATACTCTTCCCTATCCACCATACCGCCTGGACCTTTATACATCCAGTCCAGTTTCATATTATCCTTTTTCCTGTAATAATACAAAATATTGTGCTAAGTTGTGGTTTTAAATTTTCTGTACATACTTAAGAATTATATGAAATGACAACTCTGAACTGGGACATCCTACTTTGAAGAGCATTAGAGGAAAGTTCATTTACTAACAACCCCACATACTACACAAACTGTGATATCCAAAGCCTGCACTCACTACAGACTTCAAGAACAAAGGCTTAGTTCATCAGACAACATTACATGGTTCCTGCCACTATGAATATTATATAGCAATAAAAAATAATAAAAGCTTAGTAGTTTGTCCATAGTATAGTTGGGCCAACACTAGTGTCATTTCATCACCCATAAAATTATGGCAATGAATCTGAATGATTTAAAAAATCATTCAGATTCATTGACAATTCTGAGGAAAGCAGACATAGCTACTTAAAAATCTGCTGTATAATTTACATATTTATTAGATGGTCTTGCAACATTTTTATTTCCTGACTACACTCTCCTAAGGAATACACTTGTTCCAAAATGTCTTGTACAGACTACAACTTACTCTACAACACCCTTATCTTGTGCATATTTCTGAATATCTTCTCTTGCTTTCTCTTCTCTGATTTCACGCTGCAGTTCAGCTATTCTCTTCTTCTCTTGGTCATGTTTTTGTTCTGCCTTCCATACTTTCTCCATATTCCTCATTGTTGATGGATGCCATGATTTCTTTAGGTTCTAAAAACAGCAGATGTTTTTGGTATTAATTGCCTGTAGGGGAACTTACATCTCTAACTACAAACTGAATGGTCAGGTTGCAAAGTAACACTCTTGAATGAATTGTTTCAGTTCTCACCACATATCCATTTGCCTTAGTTGGGATATAACATATCTCTGAAAAATAAGCTTAAGATATTGAAGCTAGAACTATATGAAGTTTGATTATAAACATTCATATATATTGCATGTAAAATTGGAAAGTACTGTGACAGATTGACTTAAGAAGTAACACCATCACCACCACCACCACTACTACTACTACTACTACTAAGAACAAATTGACAGTGGAACCACGGTTCTGGAGAATCTGAAGTAAATACGTCTATACGGAAAGGAAGTTTATATATTAGCTTTAATTACAACAATATTAACAACAATGCCGAGTAAACAGATGACGTTTTCTAGGTAACATAACAATGCACGCAAGCTGACCATTGTTGTCGATCCATATTAACACATTGTTGATATGGATCTTACACGTTTTCCTTTCACTTGTTTGCCGAATGACCCTTCCGTATAGACGTATTTACGTCAATAATAAGCTGTAAAATATTGAAACAACTGCAAGTAATAAAGATATCTGGGTCAAGCAGGATAAAAATATTGCAGCATCACACGAAGAAGTGAGAGTTCGAAAATATGCTATTCGACTTCTGACCGGAACTTTTAATGATCTAGGTATACGCCGTGTTATGTGGTACTTAATAAACCCTCATTTTAATAGATACCTGGACTCCATTCCATATTACTTGCATACAGAAGCTGGTGTAATACCCACTTGCAAATGAATGTGGAGCGATTAATTGGAGACATTTTAAACAGGGAAAAAATCTAATAGTCTAATAAATATCTAACAACTGCTGTATGTCACATATCAAGGAATTCAAGTAAATGTGAGGAAATAAGTTAGGTTAAACTCACCAAATTTCCTCCACCCATTATTTTCTTGCTGATTTATAGCCAGTAACGGTGACACCAACCGAAAAATTACTTGTTCAATACAATTATATAACGTGTGTCATGAGAACAGGTCTTTGTATTAAGCGCACTTTAGATTTTCTTCTACACATTACATTCCTCTTCTACAACTCAAAACTCAAGATGACATAATTCAAACATGAACATGCTCATCTGTGGCTAGGGCACAGTGACGTCACATCCGCTTACATAATCTTCTTTTGTAATCAATCCTAGGATTGGTTGGCAGCAGCTCTGTATTTAGCTACTGATACTTGGGAAATCCTGAGGATCTTTAATGCGGTGGATTCCCCTTGCCTTCCGCATCCTACGCCGATGACCCATCTGGTTCATTCGCCTTTAGGGGTGATTTCTCACCCTAAGGGCATGAGGGAGCCCTGAACCTCCACCCTCCAAAGAGGCTGTTGGCACTTGGTAGAGGGGGGCCACTTACATATTATGTTATTAATAATCTGTGCTCGAGTTTGTGATCAGTTCTAGAATCGATACGTCATCAATTTGGTAAGACTGAACTGTAGATAATCGCTGACTCTATACATTTATTGCAAATATTAGTACACTAACTCAGTCAGTATAGTGACTGCCTACAAACTGGATGACTTGGGTTCGATCCTCGGCTAGGGCAGAGGATTTATCCTCTAGCCTCTGCGTCTACACCGGTCCTGGGGCTCAACCCAGCCTCCTATCCAATGGGTACCTGAGTCCTTCCCCGGGGGTAAAGCGCGGCCAAGACGTGATGCTGACCACTCACCCCCTTCTGGTGCCGAGATCTTGAATGAGTAGGAGCTATACCGTCTCTCCCCCCAAGCGCGTATATGGCGTATAGTGGGACGGCTTTGCTTTACGTATTAGTACATCTTGTTCTAGTAGTAGTGTTGGTATTAGCTGTGGTTTGTGACGACGATACAAAGATGTCACTACATTTATTTTCTGCTTACTGTGTTCAGTTTCGAATGGCGATTATGGAAGCGTGAATTTGTATTTGTTGCTATTGTGATGTTTGTTCGGAGACAATGTTAGAAAGCAGACATATAACAGCATCACTTAAGAAACACTTGTAAAGCGTGGAAATTATTTAAGTTCATATTTATTTTGAATATATTAATAACATTCATAGACGTCAAGCAATGGCGACGAGATGGAGTAGTGAATTTGTAGTTGCTGAACACAGAGACTTGCAGGTATGAATCAATTAAGACTTTTCGTTCCGTTATCACATTACTGTTCGATACGTACATTAGGATTCTAGTTAGCTGGACCTGAGACAGCTGGTAAGAACGTCGACAACTTATATTTTTAAACTTCGGTCGTTAATGTCTTGGGCAATTGATTTGGTACTATTTACGTACTCGTAATTCACCTTTTACATGTGTGATGTAGTTACAGATGAAATTGTGTTGTTGAAAGTTAAGGATGATTCTACTGAGCGTAGCGGCCGAATAATTATCAATTCTGCTTCGTGTATTGGAGGTCCCAGGTTGAAATCTGAAATCTCAACCTGGAGACCGGCTGTTCTGACTGAAGTTATTCGTTGTTTTACTCAATTTCTCCAGGAACATGCATGGACAGTGTCATAAATTAGGCCGCGGTTGCATTCTATCATGTCTTTAATTAATTTATAAATCTTATCATTCAGTGCTATATAGTTTGAGCTAATGACAGTGCATACATACATCCATCTTTATTACATTCTGTGGATCGGTAAGTTAACCAGATCATCGTAGAACGTGGAATAAGTCATAATAATGCAATACATATTCATGTATATATGTTGTTAAATATGCCACAAATAAATACATTAAGTTCTTTGTGATTAGATCGAATGTAAACAAATTCTAAGTAGGATTTAGGTATTCACAGTGGTGAGTTCGAAGATGCTCAGGGTGATGATGGAAGCATCTCGTCGACCTGATGATGGAGGCAGCAAGGACTTTGTAAACGTTGGTAAACTCCTACCAGACTACATGGTGCAACAACCCAGAAGGCAGCTATCTTCTAAATAAATTCTATTCAATACTGTTCTGAAACCATTTAAAACCTTTTTTAGTGTTCTGGACCCTGCTGTTTATGCTTTTCTTTTTTAATAAATTGTGTAGTACTGCGTTTGAAGTCTCAGTAGCCTGCATAAAATTATTTAAGTGGTTAGTCATTCCACATAATGTTATGCTACATCCACCACTCACATAACCTTCCTCGAAGTTATTTTATAAAACCAAAAGGTGTAAAAACCTCATTGTGAACTGCAAGTGCTTCAGACATACGACCTTTAGAGTAGGTTCTATTCAAATATATTTAATTTACAAAAGTATCTTGTTTTATATTGTATAAGAATCACATCCACTATTTCTCCTTAACTAGATATTCATTTAAGTTTGCAAACACATGATGATCAGTATAATATTTTCATCTCCCACCCTTTCCAGTTCACTGTCCATAAACATCTTCTTATATCATATGTAAATAAGTAGGCTTTATGGTATTAATAAATGACAAACAGTAAGCAGTTTGTCATTTACTGGATCCTCCAATTATAATTTTGTGCATGTTAGTTTCAGAGAAAGAAATTTGTTTTTGTGTCTTTGGATAACTACCTTAAAGATGATTTATATGCTGCCAGTTTACTTTCTTTTCAGGCCAGCACTATGGCTGTAGATTCAAGTGGAGTTTATGCACTGTTAGCAGGGTAAGTGGGTATGGTGGTTTAAATGTAATGAGTAAGATTGGTTGTGAAGGAGAATATTTGGACCTGGAACAGATGAACTGGCTGCAGAATGAAGGACCCAGTACCTAGAAGTTTTGAGGCCTGTATGTTCAGGATTTTATGACAGGCTAGGAATGTAGTGTCCATAAGGGAAACACATACAGGGCAATAAGTAAATCATTGCCCTGATGATGGAAGGACTAAACATTTCTGAAATGGTAATCTCCTACCAGGCTACATGGTACAACATCCTAGAAAACAGTAATATTAATAATTTACAAAACATCAAAAATTTATATATTTTACAGAACATTAATTACTGACCTGTCTGTTGGCTTTGTCATATCTTTACGGTAGCTCAATCAGTATAGTGACTGGCTACGGACTGGATGACCAGGGTTCAATCCCTGATGGGGCGGAGGATTTTTCTTCTAGCCTCTGTGTCCAGATGGGCTCTGGGGCCCATCCATCCTCCTATCCAATGAGTACTGGGGTCCTTTCCCAGGGGTAAGCTATGGCTGGGGCATGATGCTAACCATTCACCCCATCTAGTGCCAAGATTAAGAATGAGTAGGAGCTACACCTCCTCTCCTCCAAGCGCCTTCATGATGTATAGTGGGACAACTTTACTTTTTCCTTTATGTTGGATTTATTATCATGACTGAAACTGCTCAAGGAATATGTGCCAAAATTGTTATACCACATGTTCTTTAGACTGGAAAATTAGATTCATGTGTATGTATTTGAACATTATACTTTATAAAGTGCTCAGGTTTATAATAGAGCCGGAATAGCTCAGTCAGTATAGTGACTAGCTACGGACTGGGGTTTGATCCCCGACGGGGGCAGAGAATTTTTCCTCTAGCCTCTGTATCCAGACTGGCTCTGGGGCCCACCAAGCCTCCTAAACAATGGGTACTGGGGTCCTTTCCCAATGGTAAAGTGCAGCCGGGGCGTGATGCTTACCACTCACCCCCATCTAATGCTGAGGTGAAGAAAGAGTAGGAGCTATACCTCCACTCCCCCCAAACGAACTACATGGCATGTAGTAGGACGGCTTTAGTCAGGCTTATAATAACTGAGACCAATGGTGAGTGTAAAACATTTGTATGAAATGTACTGTGAGACTATCATGTGTAAAATTTATAAGATTCTAAAGTGAGCATGAGATTTAAATTGTATTTCTGAAATATTGATAATAGTAATTATTTCCATTGCAGTCGTAGGTACTTGGCAATTAAGAATCTTGATGATTCTTCAGATACCCTTCACAAAATTCCCCGTCATAGTAAATATGAAGTTGGTGCTGCCGAATGGAATCCCAGTTCAATCAATAAGGACCTCTGTGCCATTTCTGTGAGTACTTAAGGATTTTAGAGCCAGTGTTTTAATTCTTTGTTGATTAATGGAAGCATGTTCAGTATGTTTTCTTTACTGATTTCAGAGCAATCAACGAGTGGAGATACTGTCCTGGCAGTCGGGTGGAAATTTGGTTCATACACAGACACTTCGTTCTCATACTCGAGCAGTTAGCGATCTCAATTGGCATCGGTTTGACCCAAATTTACTGGCTAGCTGTTCAATAGATACTTATATTCATGTATGGGACATACGAGACCAGAGGAGGCCTTCATTGTCTTTGTCTGCTGTTGGTAAGGGGATTACAGTTACAGATTGGTGGGAAGCATGAGTATTTGTTACCCTTTCTTACCCCATTTTTAAGTCTGTATTATTGATCTCTGGTGTGTAGGAAAAATTTCCATTCCTTGGTAGGCATTGCAGTGGTTTGATTAAGCACAGTGGCATCTTAAAATCTCTACAAGTTCATTTCCTGAATCGTTTTCATTTCCTATTTTGAAATTTATATTTTTACTGTTTTATGGTGGGTCATAGGATTTATATAGGATTATAGTAGTTGATCATATGGTCATATTGCCTCAAAAGACTTTGACACACAAAATTGTTTTGCCTTGGATTGTAAAGCGGTATTTGTGTTTGAAATGAACTTTTCATTGACAGAATTGTTTTGTTTGAATGTATGCATTATCTTTTTTTATGACATGCATTGAAGCAAAAGAAATAATTTTTTTTCCAACTATATTAGTACATATAGTATTACTTCATTGAAATCTGGGGAATAGGACATTATAACACCATTGAAGAAAAGCAAAATTTTTCTTCCCTCAACCCCTGTTTTTTTTTAATTCCAGCTGGTGCAACTCAAGTTCGGTGGAATCGCTTGTCTAGGTACCTATTAGCTACTGCACATGATGGAGATATCAAACTTTGGGACCAAAGAAAAGGAACTGCTCCAGTACAGTACATAGCTGCTCATTTGTCAAAAGTAAGTCCAGAGATTTCTAATGTTGTTTCATACAAGAAGTTTTGCTTGCTTTCATTTCTGTTGGTACGTTTTACAATCATAAAATCATGGAGTCACCCTTGGTGGTCTAGTAATAGTGTACCACTGGACCCAAGGTTTGCAGGTTCAAACCTGGCCAAGGTTGGTGGATTTTTAAGGATGATAAAAATTCGTAGTATGAATTCCTTTGGAGGGGAAGTAAAGCTGGCGGTCCCACATCATAGATTTATGGCATTTAAAAGAACCTTATGAGCGTGAAAGAGATGTTTCATAAGGAAAATTCAGTGGACATTCGTCACTCATGTCTCTTCTGATTCGCTACTGAGCCATGCCTCATGGCTCGAAGTGGCCTATCTCCCCTCACGACATTCTTTGGAGTCGCTGGCTTCAAGGCCCTGATGGGACAGCAGGGCAGATAGTCTGTGTGTGTCCGCCGGGCAGAGAATGAGTCGAAGAGGGAGAGCTTGGAGACAGACAGGTCTGATTTTTTGGGTTGTTTGACGTAGCTAGTCGTAACCCCGACCGGAGCCTGAGCCTTGGGAGTTTGTTTTCCTTTGAATTTATATATATATTTTTGAAATACATGTTGGTAATTTTGGAGTGCTTTTATTTGTATTTGGGTTAACCCTCCCGGCCTCTGGGATAATTTGGTTATAGTCATGAGAGCCGGTAGGGCTCACTACTCTAGCAGACAAGTCAGGAACGAGTAGAAATTGTACAGAGGCAGCAGGTTTGTCACCTGCTACTCCGAGGCACTAAAAGACTAATATGGCAGGTTGCCTTGAGAAACCGTCCTGAATGGCCCCAGATCCCAATCCTTGGCAGGACGATGATAAATATCTCGGAAGTATAAATATCAGATATTCTTAACCATAATTTGACATAAATGTAATGATACAAAGTTATGTTAATTGGGAATCCTGTTGCTAGTGCGAAGGTGTTCTTCCATTGAACTTCAGATATGTGAAAAATTAATGTATTTGTTGTCATAGTTGTTGGTGAGCAGTAATGCTCTATCCTTGTATTCAGAAGGTACCCAGTTCTGATTTTAACCAAGGTACCAACTACCCTAACAGAGGTAAAGGAAAATTATTAATTCCTTGAAACTGCTACATCTTTCCAAGTCAGTACCTACTTACTTTGTTACTGTTATGTGACAGGTTTTTAGGAACGTTCAAGACTGAAAGTTGAACAACTGCACCTTTGTTTTGCTATACCTGTCTGTCTGTATGTGAGAATCAGAGAATTACTGAATGGTTTTAATTAAATTTGATGTTTGGAGTTTTAAAAACAATTCTTAACACAATTTTGGTTACAATTAATAACAATAATGGGACTCTTTACATGACCTATGTGTGTTTTTGTATGTAGTTTTGACTTGGTAGGGAATCCAAGCCAGCTGTCAAACCAGGTGGGGATGTTGTCATCCAGCCAGACATTTGGCAGATGCCTTGTCTGCACAATGGTTGTTTACTCCAGATGGCTCTGACATTGCTGATGTCAGAAGACAGATTCTAGCAACGATGCTGGCATTGTTACACTGCATACATTTTATAACTTGGTTTTTCTCTCATAGATTCATGGTTTGGACTGGAGCCCTACCCATGAGAACCAACTAGCTACTTCCAGTCAAGACTGCACTGTTAAGTTCTTTGATATCACAAATCCTCGCCGTGCTGAAAGCATCCTTACAACATCATCACCTGTATGGAGAGCCCGTTACACAGTCAGTATAGCATATTTTTATTTTTGTTCAATCTGACTTGAAAGTTTAAATTAGATTTCAGGTTTCATATAGATTGCCCTAGTTGTTCTGTGCTTGAGTGTCATATTGATACCTGATAAATTTATTATATTATATTTATATGTCTCACACTTTTGTTACTGCCAGAATTGAACTTATAATGACATTTCAAATAAATCTTATTGCAACTGTTGAAGGAAGATAAGATAAATAAGTTTTAAAATATAAAATGCTTTCATCTTACTATTTAATTGATTAGGTATAATTCTGCAATAATATAAAAATGAGTGTTACATCAATGAATGATTTATATAGTCAGATGATTAGAACCATGCATCATTTCAGTGTGTTAGTGTTCTAAGGACTGAAAGGCACTGATTTGAAAGGAAGGATACCCAGTTTAATGTCAGCTCAGGTCATAATGCTGTGACTGGTTTGTTCCTGTATCCCCCAATCAGATTCCAAGGTAATGACAATGCTAAAATTGTCTCCTTCCAGGCATTTTCTATTACACATTTATCTTACATCTCATTCAAATATTAAATGCCACCAGCAATTGATATAGCATGACTTATGTAATCTCTGAATCTGGGATTGTAAGGTTCAGTCTTATACGAGGTGCGATCGGAAAGTTTCCAGACTGTGTCAATAGAGGGCGAACCAGATGTAGTACGAGCTTCTGCCGCTAGGGGGTGCGGCCTACATTCATAGTGAATCAGTGTGCCAGCCGGCATCATCGAATTAGCATTTGTTTCTTAGTTACGGGCGTTTTGGTAGTGCATTACACCGACCCTCCTGCGATTTCGGAATGGCGGATTTTCATGAACAAAGAGTGTGCATCAAATTTTGCCAAAGACTCGCCAAAACGGCTAAGGAAACCTATGAAATGCTAAAGCAAACATTTGGGGAGTCCGCAAACTTTTGTGTGGCATTCACGTTTTAAAAATGGCCGAACCTCTGGCG